TCATCAGCCACAGCTTCCTCATCTGTAAAACTGGGATAATAACAGCACCTACTCCACAGAGTTGTTGAGAGGATAAAATGAGAAAACAAATATAAAGCACTTTGCAAAACTGAAAGCATTGCGCAAATACTAATTGTTATTGTTATTGGTGCCCTAATTGGCTTTATCCCTTCTGCAGCTGAGAACCTCCGAACTCAAGAGGTCCACCAGACTCAGCCTTCCCCAGCAGCAGGTGAGTGTTCCTCACCCAACCTAGCCCCTCATTTTATAGACTCAGTTTCTTCAACTATAATTGGGCATTACACTATTGTAGATGATGTCGAAGGTCTGTTGCATTTCCAATAATTTATCTGGATTCATAAACTACCCTCATAATTCCTTCTTTCAAAAGAAATTGTAGCTCACATTCATGTAGTAATTTATAAAGCCCTTTACATATATCATTGCATATGATTCCTTAATAACCTGTGAAGTTAGAACAAGTTTTATTATTGCCATTTTTCAGAGAAGGAAATTGGGACTTAGGGAGGCTTAAAGATTTCTTCAAGGTTCCAAAACTAGTTAGTGACTGAACAGTGGCTTGAATTCTATTCAGAAAAGCCAAGAGAAGGAAAGACCTACTCTCCCAAGGGCTGTTTCTCCCCTTGTCTTTTCTTTTCCCTTTCCCCTAGTTCCAGGCCTCCTAGAATCCAACCAAGCTGCGTGACTTTTCACATGGTTTGGATAAGGTGGGAATCACACCAATCATGTGTTTTCCTTCCAATGAGATGGAAGATGACCATGCCTTATCATCTGCCCTTCCTCTACGCCCTGTAGACTCCCAGCACTGTCATCTGCCCTATTGACTTAACCTAAGAATTCCTGGACTTCACTATCTGCCCCTCTAGTCTAGTCTGGGGGATACTGGGCTTTGCCATCTGCCCTGCAACTGACCTTTCTTTTTTATGGGTTATTGCCCCCAAATTAGAATGTGAACTTCCTGAAAGCAAGAATAGTCTTGTTCTTTCTATTTGTAACCTAAGAATTCAGCACAATACTTTGTACATAGAAAGTGCTTAATAAGTGATTTTTCATTCATCCATTCATTCATTCACCTCAATCCAGTCTTCTTTAGGAGGAAATACTTTACCTTGGGCTTTCTATATCCAGTTCTTGGATTTATTGTTTTAATACATCCATCCAGATAATTGAGGGGACAGAATGAGGTAAAGATAGTCTAGGAGAGATAAGATTCAGTAGAAGATTGGGGGTTCTAGTAATCCTCAAATAATCTCTGCCCATGTGACCTTTTGTGCACATTCTTAAGGTCAGACCTAACCAAAGCAGATATAAAGCAGATATAACATGGATTAGAACTTTGTCCCATCAGCAGAATTGTACACTGCAGGTCAGCCCTCCCCATAAATTTTTAGCTGATATGAAAAGTGCCCAAGGCTTAAGTGTGAAATGATGGGGGGGC